ATTTATGTTCCCAGAACACCCGATACCACTTTATATTACTTATGTATCTAATATGAACTTGCGTATTGTTATACACGTTTCTGAACACAATCGAACCCTCAAGGGTACAATAGGATATAAGAATTAAAACTCTTTTTCGACCACATCATGCAGCTTCTCGTTTATTTTAGTGTCTAGTCGTCGGGATGGCACAAAAACGAGATTCATCCGTGCGCTCATTGACGTGTACGTAAAAGAACCATTGACAGTTCGAAACGCCTTGGAAAACTCGTTTTTGTATGTTAGCTTTATGTTTCGCTGTTTTGTCATTTTTTAGTATGTTGGATTAGATTTTGACTTCCCTTTACGATCAATAGTACTCCATTCAGATTCTAACATCTAAAGGGGATCACGTGGCTAAGTGGGTGCATTGGTCGGGTGCATTGGGCGAGAAAGTTCATTCAGATTTTCTGGCGTGGTTCCCCCTTGTCAGTGATGCAGGACGGTGGGCCTGACAAGGACAGGTGTCTAGTCTTTCGGATGGAACGAAAAACGGAGGTCCCGTGTACACATTGGCGTGCACGTAAAAATCCCTTGACAGTTGGAATTCGATATAAGAGTAGGCCGTAGTGCCGCTGTCCGGGCAAAATTTCCCTCATAGCACACTGTATGGCGTATGCCCGTCTTGATTAGCCCAGTTCGGAGCAGAACAGTAGGACGTTAAACCCCATTTCATTTCATTTCATTTCTAACTTCTAAATTTAATTATTGTGGTCACGTGATTAATACGACAGGGAGAATTGATTTAATAGAATATCTGTATTAATGAGATCACTGATGTAGATCATTATAATTATACAAGTACAATAAACATGTAAAACATGTGGTATATATATAATAATCAACAGACATAAGGTGAATATAACAATTAAATACAATAATATTACACAGTTGATATACCACAGTTAATATACCACAGCTAATATACCATAGTAGGTATTATTACCTGTATGTATATATGCTAATCAACCAACATAAGGTGAATGTAACAATTATTTAACAAATATTACACAGCTAATATACCACAGTTGATATACCACAACTATTATACCACAGATAGTAGGTATTTTTACCTGTATGCAAACATTACATACCTGTAATTAACACACGGAGGTTAAACGTTCAATATACCTTTACGACTTGTATTTTTTTTCAATTAGTGCAGAAAATTAGTACGTTAAACTGAAATGAAATAAAATTGGGTTTAACGTCCTACTGTTCTGCTCCTATACTGGGCCAATGAAGACGGGTAGTACGTTAAACACCCATTTTATTTCATTTATTAGTGTTATATCAAACTACCGTCTCCAGTAATCATTAACCCAGTCGGTGCAGAAAAGTAAGACGTTAATTAAACTAAACCCCCTATTCATTTCATATCATTTATATCGAAACAAGTTACTCGTCTATACAGAAGATGCTAAATAATCCAAATTTTTCAAATGATTATATCAGTATATAAATAAATAGTGAACGGGACCCTTTTTGGACTGATATTCCTTTTAGAGATCAATAATTCCACTAATAAGGGTTCGGAATAGTTCAAAACTTTTACGACTTTATGGGTGTTATAATTTTGCACACATGTAGGTATATTACTCTTATAGCAAACTCTTATTTCAATTTTCTGTCATTTGCAATGCAGCTAATCGTTGGCTCTCTAACCTGGCGGTTCCATATTCAATCCCTGCGTTGGTCGAGAAAGTTCATCGGGCTTTTCCGACGTGTCCCCCCCCCCCTTGTCAGTTGTGCAGAAAAGGTGGTCTGTGCCAAGGGACAACGTATAGTCGTTCGGATGGGACGGAAAACCGAGGTTCCGTGTACACATTGGACTGCACGTAAAAGAACCCTGGACAGTTGGAATTCGATAAAAGAGTAGGTCGTAGTGTCGCTGTCTGGACAAAATTCCCCTCATAGCACACTATATAGCGTATGCCCGTCTTCATTTATTTAGCCCAGGTCGGTGCAGAACAGTAAGGCCTTAAACCCCATTTCATTTCATTTCATTTCATTTCATTTTCTAATTTTTGTTACATTGAACAGGACTGATTCATTTGAGAGAGAGAGAGAGAGAGAGAGAGAGAGAGAGAGAGGGAGGGGGAGTGTTAACGTCCACTCGACACAAACTAGTTCATTTGTTACTTAACAGTTGGGTCTTTAGCAGTGGGAGGAAACCGCGTAGGATCCGGAGATAATCGACGGGGTTGGACAGGCGACCCTAATTCTTGTCACAATACCAATCGAAATCTCACCACTTGACTCAATGACAAACCTGATTTCACCTTTATATCCGTGTTGGCAGAGAAAGTAGAACCCCATTTTAATTCAAACTGCTTTCTAACAAACCATAAGTTGCTGATTTTCAGAACAGCTTTATCCTCCCCTTTTACACAATAATTGAAAAGTTATATCAATAATTTTCAATATTTTCTTTGTCATGTTTGAAAAATCAATTAGTCAGTACTTCGCCATCGTCCTTATCGCCTGGTCGTCATATACTTAATTGTCATGCTTGCTTCAGAAACGACACAAAAGCCTTCTGTAAAACAAATAGGGATATTTTTTTTACATAATTGAAAATTGGTTCTTCGAACACTGTTTTATTGATTAAAATCGATTTGTTCAGAAAGGTGATAAAATCAATCAGCTTGTCACTCGCATTTACACTCTCTTTATATTCATAATGTCCAATATAATGCTGTTGTGTTTTTTTTCCGAAACGAAACGGTTTTGAATAGAAGACTAATGCTAATGATCAAGATAACAAAAAGCACCAAGCCATGTTCTGGTGAGGTATCTATGCACTTTGTTTGTCCAATTCGCCAGTAGATTTTAATCAAGCTCTGATGAACCGCAATTGTTGTTTTTCTTTGCCCGGTTGGCCATTGTTAGGTTTATCATCACCGCATCCGATCTGTTCCAATATTTAAATTTTATGGGAGGACAATTTCACGCACTTGATTGCCTCAATTATCAGATTGATTGATTTGTGTTTGAATTGATCATAGAAATGTATGAATCAGGAAGTGTGTTTTTTTTTATGAAGTTTTTTATTTGCTCTCTGTAATTTGAATGCAATTATAATATAGAATATGGCGATGGTTTTATCTATTGGAGGCATTTTATTAAGGGGACTATAGATTTTCTCTTCAGCCGTCTATCTGTCTGTCGGTTATTTTTGTTTCAAGAATTTTTGTTAATTTAACTTTTAGATATTGGGTTTTTTGCTGGGATTCCGTTACTGAATTGTACTGCATTAGAGTCAGTTGCTGGCTTTAAATTAATGGAATCCAGTTTCCCAATGAAAATCCAGTTTTCCCATGAAAATCCAGTTTTCCAATAAAAATCCAGTTTTCCAATAAAAATCCAGTTTTCCAATGGTTCAATTTTATATCAATAATTCGCTTGCGCGTAGGTGTCGTTAGCAGTGAGAGGAAACCGGAGGAACCGGAGAAAACCCACACAAGTAATGTCCGATATATTCCAACTCATTTCTGTGTCAGAGTCGTTAATGGAATCTCTTTAGGAAAATGAAATGAATTGGAATGGGGTTTAACGTCTTTCGTGTCTGCACCAGACACTGTTCCTGGCCAGGCCCTCTATTCTGCAACCCCGACAAGGGGAAACTATGCCGGAAAATTCCGCGGAACGACCCCGAGACCACCTGATTAGCGATTCATCGAGGAATAAATGGAGCCTCGAGACGAATCAAAGGAATGATTCTATATTTGTCAAAAGACAAAAATAATCAGATCCTAGAAAATACAGAAAGCTTTCTTTAAATACAAGTTTCGTGACCCTTCAGATTATGGCCTTTATCTGCCTGATGAGACCAGCGGTGCGATCAAAGGCTAGAGATAGGTGTTAAAATTTTATTTCTCAGTCCCAACAATTGTTGTTTTGGTTGACATGTTGTCGTGAAGTCTTGTATAAACTGATCTCCGACACCTTGGTCACCTCGGATCAACAAACTACACAGACAAGTCGCAATTTACAATCGGCTGCGACTAAACTCTCGGGGTTAACGTCTGACATTGGTTAAACATAGGGGTGAAATAAAGGTTTTCTAATAAAATAGGATGTGTGTGATAATTTCGAATATCGTCAACATTTTCAAAATGATTATTTATTTCGTTAATTTTCAGTCTGTTTAAGATACAGATTTGAATTTCGTTTCGTTTTTTATACGCTAAAATTGTTGTCCCCCCCCCCCCCGATCGTTTGTCAGTGCGTCGACCACGCGTGTGAACACCCTCGGGATAATATCTTGTACTCATATTGTAATTACTGTTTATTTGGGGGGGGGTGGCTGAATGGTTAGCGTGCGCGCGATGTATCATAAAGTCTGTCATTGAGTCGACTGGCGTGGTTTCGAATCCCCGGTTGTACGTGGCAAGGAGTAGAGTCGCCTGTCCAACCTCGTGGGTTTTCTCCAGGGCCTCCGGTTTCCTCCCTCTGCTAAAGACCCCTACGCGCAAGCGAATTATGTAAATAAAATTAAACCATATGTTAGTCCCGAAATGACCTAGTTTGTGTCGAGTGGACGTTAAACCCCATTTCTCTCTCTCTGTTTATTTGATTTTAGCGATTTCTAATTATTACGCCCAGAGTTATTGGCCTTGGTGTTTTTTGTGGAATCTTAGAAAGCGCACGTGGTTAGGGCATAACAACAATTTTAATATCTCCATTAATTCTTCAAATTATTGTTGTTTAAATTATACCATTCTCTACTTTGAGACGAATATTCCCACCATTGAAATTATACCCATCTCTACTTTCAGACGCATGTTGGCGTCATTTAAATTATACCTTGCTCTACTTTCAGAAAAAAATGTCCCACTTCCCGCCATTTAAATTATACCTGTCTCTACTTCTACACGAATGTTCAATTTAAATTAGACCTTTTTCGGCATTCAGACGATTATTCCCGCCAATTTAATTATTGCCTTTTCTACTTTCAGACGAATGTTCCCGCCATTTAAAGTGAAAGTATCAGGTTTAGATAAAAAAGCTAAATATATTTTATTGATGGATATTGTGGCTGTTGATGACTGTAGATATAAATTTCACAACAGTAAATGGATGGTGGCGGGAAAAGCTGATCCAGAGATGCCCAAGAGGATGTACATCCATCCAGATTCTCCGAGTACTGGTGAGCAATGGATGCAGAAGATCGTATCCTTCCACAAGTTAAAGCTTACAAACAATATTTCGGATAAACATGGTTTTGTAAGTTATCATTTCGTAAGTTGATTTTTATTATACCTTTTAAATGTTTTCTGATTCTGTCCACCATGTTAGTTAGTTTATCCAAGATTTACGTCCGCTTCTACCTAGGGTGATATCGTAGACAAGTTATTTGTGAGCGATAGGCTAGTCTAAATAAGGTGAAAATGGAAGAGCGAGTAGGAAATTTTATCACCTCCATTTTCTTTTTGACTTTAATCGTCGACATCAAATCAGGGCCTAAGATATAATATTAAACATTGAAATATACTCAGTTCGCAAAAAAAATAATCTAGTTCTCAAATTTGATTAAATCGACCGTTTCGTTTTTATCGAGATCAAAGATATCGTGTCCGAATTTTATGACCGTAATTGATGTCAGCCATGCCATTAGACAAGTAAAAAGTTGACCAGCGTGCTGGACATTGTTGACATATTTGAGTTAAAGATGGTGTGTTTAGACGGCGGATAATGTGAGAAAGACTAATATTAATATGTTTATTATAACCACGTCTGTGAATGATAAATATGCATGTCAATAACACCTATCCTTCACCGACACTATTGATTCACATTTCTCATACTATGTAAGTGAATAGTCATAAAATATAAAACAGTTATATGGACACTATTGATTCACATTTCTTGTACTTAATAGTCATAAAATATAAAACATTTATATCAACACTATTGATTCACACTTCGTGTACTTAATAGTCATAAAATATAAAATATTTATATCAACACTATTGATTCATATTTCTCGTAATATGTTACCGAATAGTCAGAAAATATAAAACAGTTATATCAACACTATTGATTTACATTTCTTGTAATTTGTTACTGAATAGTCAGAAAATATAAAACAGTTATATCAACACTATTGATTCACATTTCTTGTAATATGTTACTGAATAGTCAGAAATATAAAACAGTTATATCAACACTATTAATTTGCATTTCTGGTAATATGTTACTGAATAGTCAGAAAATATAAAGCACTTATATCAACACTATTGATTCACATTTATCGTAATATGTTACTGAATAGTCAGAAAAGTCATCCTTAAAACAGTTATATTAACACTATTGATTCACATTTCTCGTTATGTTACTGAATAGACAGTAAATATAAAATAGTTATATCAACACTATTGATTCACATTTCTCGTTATATGTTACTAAATAGTCAGCAAATATAAAACAGTTATATCAACACTATTGATTCACATTTCTTTTAATATGTTACTGAATAGTCAGAAAATATAAAACAGTTATATCACTATTGATGCAGATCATATGTTACTGAATAGTCAGAAAACTTCTATCAATAATATTGATTCCCATCTTTCATATGTTATTGAACCTACTTCTTCTCATAGCATAGCTAACATATATCCTGTAGACCTACTTTTTTTTATGTTACTCGGGTAGGAAAAGGTATCCCAGTACTTCAGTTTTCACACAATGGAAATATTTTTGATCAATTTTAATTAGCGTTTGGCTATAAACACGAGGAGTGACAATTGAATTTTTATGATTAAAAAATTAGCAAATATGGCGATAATCACGTGACTGTTGTTATGCCGATTGTTTGAGACTGGTTAAAGTTCTGGTGAGCGTTGTTCTTCGCACATTAAATTTACCCGCAATATTGTCAGTATTTAACAATCAATAGGCGCCTGGTTATTCAAATACAAAAATACAACGATTGTGTTTGAAGTCCGCAACGCCATCTTTGAAACCATGCCAACAATCGACTTAGCTACGATTGTCGTATATTTCAGTCATGCGCAATTATGTATATTTTAGATGATAAGAACATACAGACTGGCGCCACTGTTTCGAGCCAAAATACTTCGAGCTGTAGTTTTCCTTCTTAAAATAAGCGTTCTTATTTATTTCATTGTAGTGCGGTTTGTGACAAGAAAAAAAAGGTTTTTTGCATTGAACGATTTGTTCGCCTGTTGTTGATTTGCCATGTTTGGACATAAAAATGTGCTAAACTTCTCACGTAATGTGTTCAACTTCTTTCAATTGTTAATATAGTTTGGAAAATGAAAAAAATAAAAGATTTTTGTTGGCATTTTATTGTGTGCATTTTGTGTCTGTTTTTGTCCACGAATTGGCATATTATTGTCGTTCGACTTTCTCCCTTTGAACTGATCTAAGTTCACGTAATACATTCTGACGAATATCGTGCATGATGTATGATATGCTCATCTGTCAGAGGGAAGTTGTCGTTTGTGGAAAGCTTCATATGTTGCAATCTAGGGGTATATTATGTGCTTTATTGGTGCACTGTTTTATTCTAGTAGTTCGAAAACCCGACGAATAATTTCCTGGATATCTCTAATAACAGACAGGGAAATCTAAAATCACCGAAAGGCGACCAACTACCAAGAGTCTTATTTAAGAAAACTTTAAGAATTCAGACTTTTCATTGGCCGAGATCTGTAATTTAAGCTGTAATATTAGTTCACAACTAATGAACAAACAGTATACTTATATAATATTCTAACTTAAACATGCATTATGCAAGAGCTAAATCTGGGTTAGTGCTAAATGATAAGGCCAGCTCAATTTTTGGTCATAGGTCACAAGATGTAAACAGGGCTAGCGCTAATACTAACCCTAACCCTAACTATGGACCTAGCACCAATACTTAACCTAACCCCTGTCCACAATCTCGCCAACAAGCACGTGCCCTAACCTTATTTACATCTCAGCGACCTTGACAAAAATTGAGCTGGCCTTAACAAATAGATTTAGCCCTAAATCTGCATATTGCAGGTCTTTCTTTAGGCCTGAGATGTTATATAATATATTAGAGATTTGTTAACATATCAAGCCTATAATCAACCCTCGGTGCCATCTGATGCTTCTGATTTTCATTAGATTTGAATACAGTCTCCCGTTTAACAGTCATTATGAATAAACGCAAAATTGGATAATCAAGACTTTTTTTTATTTCCGTCACAACGGCAACACTGACAATCGAGGCTACAATGTTTTTCAAATGAGTATTTATCGGCTTAGAGTGAAGTAATTGACTGAAATTTTCAGAATATTCCCTCTACATTATTTATTATTTCATTATTATAATGAGAGCTGTCAGTTTTTTTTATCTAATCTTCTATAATGTATCTTTAAGTTTTCATGATTAAGAAATGAAATGAGCTTTAACACCCTACTGATAAACCATATGTTAGTCCCGAAATGACCTAGTTTGTGTCGAGTGGACGTTAAACCCCATTTCTCTCTCTCTCTCTCTCTCGATCTGCGGGTATACGCCGTGCAATGTGCTATGCGGGAACATTCATAAATACAGCCCAGATCAATTTCACTTTATAAAGCTGTAAACACCACTTTGAAGAGACCATATGCCTGAACCTCTATAATATTATTATTATTTAAATTAAAGACTGTGTCATTGAGAAAAAAAAGTTGGTCAAACATTCTCTTAAATCAGATATATTTCAATGCATCGCCTATGGCGGTGTGAAATCAATAATGTAAACTTCAAAGGTTATTCCTTGAAATAGACTACACCATCCATACAATGAATTTGTTAATGTATTTTTTTTTTTAACCGTAATGGACTAAGTTTTAGACCCAGTCCGTTCTACGGAAAATAAAGGGAGGCAACTAGTCCACATCCCTCACTGCTCATAATGTCATAATGAAGTATTTTAATGGATGTTTTAAAACATTCTACCATGATGCGACTGCCTCTACCATCAGAATAAAACATGTATTATTCCGACTAGACAATTACTAATCGTTTTGTAATGAATTCAAACCACGCATGTAATGTACATTTAATCACTGATATAACACATTCGTCACGAAGGGTCAAAGGTGAAAGCATATTAAAAGTCATAGTGTACATGTACATAACACTCCGTTGATATGATTTATAAAAACGAAGGAGACATTTATCTATGGTAATATAAATACACGTCACGGGGGTTAATTCGTTATAAAGAGGGATCATGGGATATGTATTCTGATGCGTATGTCTTCGCGTCACCGTTCAAATCAGTAGGCTACCCAGTTTGGCCCGGTTCATTATATAAACGAATGAAACGATTTATCTATGGTAATATAAATGCACGTTTTAAATATCGTCACGTGGTTAATTCGTCATAAAGAGGGGTGATGGGATATGCTGGTGTCTTGGTGTCGCAGTTCAGACCGGATTCTTTGAGACTCGGGTTGAAAAGCATAAGAATCTATTAAACATACATTATGCCAGAGCTTTTTCTGTCAAGGGGGGGGGGGGTTGGATGGCTGAATGGTTAGCGTGCTCGCGCTGTATCATAAAGCCTGTCATTGAGTCAACTGGCGTGGTTTCGAATCCCCAGCTGTACGTGGCAAGGAGTAGGGTCGCCTGTCCAACCTCGTGGGTTTTCTCCGGGTCTTCCGGTTTCCTCCCACTGCTAAAGACCCCTACGCACAAGCGAATTCTTGAAATAAAATTAAACCATATGTTAGTCCCGAAATGACCTAGTTTGTGTCGAGTGGACGTTAAACCCCATCTCTCTCTCTCTCTCTCTCTCTCTCTCTATATATATATATATATATATATATATATATATATATCTCTGTCAAGTGCAGGTCTTTCTTTAGGCCTGAAATGTTATCTAAATTATTAATTAAACATTAATTAACTTATCCAGACCATAGTCAACCGTCGACCGCTAGCATGAGATATTTACTGGATTAGAACCCGATCTACTGTTCAACGGTCATTGATAATTGAATCAAAAAGTGGATAATCGAAACTATGTGGGTTTTTTTTATCGTACCGACTTTAGTAATGATGGTCGAGACTAGGCCCAAAATTCAATGCTAAATTCTCAGTTCAAAGTGTATCAATTTGAAATTTTCAGCAAATTCCATTTACATTATCTAGTTTTGAACTATTATAGTGAGAACTGCCAGCTCTTTATCTAATCTCCGATAATGTATCTTTAAGTTCCCTGTTTTCAAGTGGAACATTATTTTTTAAAAAT